TTTATTCAAATTATAGCAGAAAACTTCCCAAAACTTTCAAAACTTAAATAATGAAGTAGACATTCAAATACAAGAGACATTTGGAATCCCAAATAGACATAACCAGAAATGTCATCATATTGAAGATCCAAAAATACAAAGTAAAGACATTATGCCAAACATTATATCAATACAAAAATGATATTAAAAATGTCAACTAACATATAGAGGTGAGAATATCAGAATAATCTTGAACGTTTCATCAGAAAAACTTGGAGTGACATATTACAAGCTTTGGAAGCAGATAACTGTGAACCAAAAATGATATACCCAGCAAAGTGTATCTTTCAAGACTGATGCAGAAGTAAGGGCATTTCAAGACAAACACAAAATTTCTATTAGATGTATTTATTATAATTTATGCACGAGTGCTTTGCCTAATTGTATGTACCATGTGTGTGCTTGGAGCCCAGGAGGTCAGAAGAGAGCACTGGATTCCCCTGGAACTGGAGTGACCAGTGGTTGTGAGGTACCTTGTGAGTGCTGAGACTCAAACCCAGGTCCCTTGCAAGAGAAACAAGAGCTCCCTTATAAGAGAAGCAACTGCCCTTAATCTCCTAGCCCTTTGATATTCAGTTTTCCAGATGTCTTTGCTCAGTATTTGTTTCTTAGAGACAGCTGACAGTTCTTCTTTCTTAATATTAATTAGTTATTCTGCTTCTTCTATTGGTACCTTGAAGCCATTCCCATTTAAGGTAATAGTGGGTTGATACTCCCTGAGAATTTGGTACATGTTGTTCTAGTTTCCTGGATTATTTGGGATCTCGTTTCCTCTTTTCCTCATTAGCACTGGGAATTTGCTGTGTTGAACATAATTCTTTCCTGGCTGTTCTTTATTCATCGTGGAATATACACACCATCCCATCTCTCCTCAGTATCCAAGATATTAAGCTTTATGTTTTTCATATTTTATTATATTTTGAAGAACTATAATAGAAACTTGGCAACTCAAAGAGTCTTCCGAGTGTATGAAAATGATTTCTAAAACAAAACAGAAATTACTTCTCTTCTGCTGGTTTTCGACTCTGTATCATTTGCTAATAGTCTTTGTACTTCACTGGATTTGGTTAGGGTCAATAGCTGGATTAGAAAAGCAGTTATATTAAACCATCTCTAAAAAGAAATAACCAAAAGAGAGTATGCTATTATACCTGAGAATTAATTATTGCTCAGATCAGCAGAGCAAGTAATCATACAACAGCTTCTTTAGAATATGATTCCATATTACTGCCATTGTTTTAATATGGCATTGTTTTAATATTACGATTCCGTGAGTTAAATGGGTTTTAAAAAATACCTAGCACAGTTAAATTACACTTCACTGTAGTAAAAACATATGGCTCCAGTACAGTATAAATTTAACGCAAATTTTATATTAAAGTTGTTTGAGACTTTATGGCCTGTTTTCCTTACTTGGTCTCCTTCATTCTATTGTCGATAATTTTGGAGGCCACAACATAATTTAGCCCATGAAGCTATGGTAACAAATATTGGATTTCCATGCAACTTAATTAATGGTTATGTCACCCTCTCTTTATGTAGCAAAATTAAATTAGTTTTCTTCTTCAGATGACAGGAATACATTGTTTTTTTAAAAAAATTGGAGTCTGTTGTTGAATACACCATATGCTTGAGTCACAGAATATGGAGAAATCAAACTATACCAACCTGGAAGCACTGTCTACTGTGACCTAGCTTTCACAGGGCTGGAAGGCAATATTCAGATTATTGAGGGGGGGGATAGAAAAGGAATGATCAGTTTTACTACCTGTAAACTTTACTAACTACAGTAATGACCAGCCTGGAAAGATATGCCCAGATATACTCTCTCTCTCTCTCTCTCTCTCTCTCTCTCTCTCTCTCTCTCTCCCTCTCTCAGTATATTATTGTATATTCTCAACATCTCAAGATCTTTCTACAGAGAGAGCTGGAATTAATTATGTTTGTATACCATACTTTCCTAATGTATATAACTTTTAAAAGTATCTATGATATACCTTAGTTCAAAGCCAAAAACTCCTATTTTTTGATAAAATTGTGAATAACTTTGATTAGTAAAGCTTCCTTTGTTTTAGAGTTCCCTTCTTGAACTCACTGCTTTCTTTGATTATTTAGTCAAAACGTAAAGATATTCATTGAATAATTTGCATTGTAAATGATATGTTTTAGTATTATATAATGTCGAGATACTGTTCTTGTTAATATAAGGCAAGGAAATAAACCTAATATTTGAAAAATACTTGATAGATTTACTTTGTGAATGTCATAACATAGCTACAGATGTGGAATCTTTTAGTAAAATAACTTACAAAATGAATGAGGTAGAGTGTCGTACATTAATTGACTATATAAAAATATGCAGGTACACATTGTTTTTAATAATGACCAACTAGAAAATAAGAAATATTCCCCTTTAAAAATTGAGCTGAGTAATAAGATACATAAGTATCTAAGTGGAAAACCTAGTACTGCCAAAAGAAGTAAAAAGTTAAGACAAAAATATTCATTAGTACATTCCAAAAAAAGGCATAAAAAGCATGAGAATTTAGTAAACTTTCATTGAAATACCTGAAAAAAACATGAATAAAAGGAATGGCATGTCGTCTACTAGAAACATTTAATTTTCTTTTAATGTATATTTTCCTCAAATTAATATATTAGTCTATAAGAGCTGTTAGAATTGTTAGTATAGAATGAGAAAGGCTGGCAGTTTTGTCAAAAAGAGAATCCAGAACTTAATTTACATAGGATTGGTCACAGGGCAAATGTGCCCTTGCAATTCAGTAGGAGAGAAATCTTATATTCAAAATGATGTTGTGATATCATAATGATCTACCTGGAAAGCTATGAGGTCAAAATCCTTTCACAGATGTTAGAAAGAAATTACCAAGATGAAATAATGATTTTAGCAAAACATGAAATTAAAAAAAAGTCTCCAAGGAAATCTTTACAAGTACAGGCACTTCCCAAAGGTCAGGAAAGTCTTTGTAACCAAGCCCAGGGAAGTAAAAGGTTATACAGAAAAAGGCAGACACATTTTAATATCCAAATTTACATACATTTCATGACAGAAAGAACCTTCATAAATGCTGTTATGAAATACTTGCACTCTTTATGAAAGATGAAGGACTAATTCCTAACACATGTTGACGTATTCTTGTACAGGTGTGAAGAAAAGACACAACTGATAGAAATCTAAAGGTTGTGAATAATCAATCTACTAAAGAATAAATGAAATTTAATGAACAAAATTATACAAAGAGGGCTAGAATCAGTACTAGTTAGGAACATGAAATTATGATGAAAGTGCATGATTAGTCTAAATATCAAGCAGAAAATGTTTAAGCGGCACATCCTGCACCTGGTGTTCAGTGAGCACATCCTGGGGATGCTAATGCCTTGAAACATCTTAATGCTGGAAAAATGCCTTTATGCCAACCATTCTGCCTCCCTATGCCTCTGAGACTAGTCCAGCCCTTGTGTTGTGCGTTAAGGGACCACTTCCGTAACTTCCAAGCTGCTGTCTCCTCAGAACATGAAGCCCAACATTAACAAGTATCAATTTGATAGGCTTTTAGTGTTTACACAATGTTGTGTGAACATCACCACTATTTAATTAGTTATATATTTATTTATTATTACTAATATACTACATATTTTATATTTATTAGTATATAATACAACATATTATATAAATATATTCTATTTGCTATGTGTTATATAAGTAGAATACATTCACTTTTGATAAATATACAATTAATTTTATTCCCATCACTGCAAAATAAGCCCTGTTTCCAGTGTATAAAGACAAATCAGTAGGCTAGGCAGAGCTACATACATAGATATAAGAGAGGTGATTTGTTAGGAATTTATCTTCCTATTACAGAGGCTGGGCAATCCCATAACAAGCTATTCCTAATATGCCAACCCAGAGGCTGGCAGTATGTCTTGAGTCCAAGTATGCAAGTATTACAGTTATGGAAACTGTGACTCTCAGCCTGGCACTAGTGACTTAAGAACACCAGGGTGGTAAGGGACCACCATAAATTCCAAGACTGCGTTGATTGGCAATCTTATACTCAAGGGCAGCAGAGTCTCAGTTTCTGGGAATCAAAGCAATTTTCTTCCTCCACCTGTGTTCCATTTGGGACGATGCTCACCTACCTGAAGGCAGATCCTCCTACTGTCTTCTGCAGCACACGGCATCTCCTCTGGAAACCCCCTCAGAGACACACTGAGTCAGATGGAGGTCAATGGAAGCTGGAGGCTCTTGGCTTTTATACTTTCCCTAGTGCAGAGTCTGAGAAGTCAAAGGTCAGTTTTGTGTACTTGCTTTGAGAACTTCCTTTCGAATTAGGAACTCCTGCTGAAAGCAGTAACCATTGCTGTCTGTGTGGGCTCTTCAGAGATCCCTAGTTTTTATTAGCTGGATTGCCTAATGTCCGCACCTTGGGGTATTCCCTAAATGCGCTGGAGGATGACAAGAACAAAACACTGATAGCTGGATTACAGAGCCTAGTGCTTCACTGGGCAGCTAGCTGCCCGAGCCTAGCAGGCCGCTGCTGTGGGTTGTAGCACAGCTCTGCCCCACCCAGAAAGGTGTCTGTGAAAATGTAAATAAGCAAGTTAAAACCTGTCAGCTAGGGAGACTTACAGTTTGTATTAAAAAGATAGTTTACAAACCTCAAATAAAATATCCAATGGCTATGGTCCTATTTACATGGAACCTTGAGCCTCTCAGTAAAATTCTGCAAGGGGAGTCAGAATCCTAATTCCCCAGGCAGCTCACAGAAGCTGCTAACAAATTACTAGCTCTAAAACAGCATGGAGTTAACATGCCCATACAACACAACTTCAAGATATAAATAAATAAGAAGGAGTTACATCCTCAGACTAAGTGGGAAAGACCCCGATTCTGGTATTAATTCGGGATTGAGAGCATATTTGTGCTTTGTTCACAGGGAGACAATAAAGCTTGATGAGATGGGTGTGTGAAACAGAGGAGTGACTGCGATGATGATTTTGTAGCTGCTGATGCCCTCACAGAGATTCCTGGATCTGTTCCTGACCTGCAAGCTACAGAGAAAGCAAGGAAGTTCATGGTGACGAGTGGTGGTTCCTAATTTTTTTGGTGGACCTACTGTGCAAACTTCCAGACCTCAGTGTGCCCTGTTTACTTTCGAGCTTGTTCAGGAACATTGACTAAATGTTTGACAGTTTATCCATACTTATATCATGAGATACCAAACTCGTTTTTGCCAACATGGTGTTCAATCTGCTATTGAAATAAAGGACCTGAGAACTGAGATTTCAAAAAATATTCCCCTGTGAGGGAAAGAGACTTGTTAAAGAAATGGAACACTTATTATAGAGGCAAAGTGGGACTAAAACCCTTCTTCAAAAATGGGAAAAAATGGCATATAAGTCTCTGTTGCTGTTCAGAGACTGAGACAGTTCAAACTTATCTTTAACACTTAGAAACAACAATATAATTAAACTATGGACGGAAAAAAAAGATTCAGAGCTTACCCGTCATAGAAACTTTTTCTTCTCTTTTGATTATAATAGATATAAGAGAATTGTGATTTGACAAATTACACATTTATTGTTAATGTCTATGCTAGATATTGACCTGCTAATGCTTGTAGCTGTTTTAGTTCATTATGAAGGTTTTACTGATTAGAAAAAGGTTAGAGCTTATCTGAGAGAATTTTGACATTGTCAATGAGTCTTTAGATTTAGTATGTTTAAAAGGACAAATTGGGATTTTGACTGTAGCTAAAAACTATTAACAACATTCTAGATGAATTTAAAAAGGCGATTCTATCTCTGATCATTCTCAACTCCTTCACTAAGAAATATTGCAACCAGAGGAGCATGTGTATCACAATGTATTATCTGCTTGCATACAGTTATCTAGCTGTTTGCAAACTCTCTTGACAAACAGTTGGCTCAAAGGTGCGCACCACAACATTGAGATACAGTCTGATAGGATTAGTGTACCTGATGGTTACAAATCAGTTTGACAGATTGCCTTAATATTGTCTGTTGTGGGATATTTGTACACTGTGTAAAGGTGTATTACTGTGACTGGTTTGATAAAGAGCTGAATTGCCAATTGCAAGGCAGGAGGTATAGGCTGAACTTTTGGGTGGAGTGAAAGGAAGTTGGAAGTAAATCTAAGTGCATATCAGATGCCAATGAGACCTAGAGAGAGTCAGATATACAGAATGAAAGGTAAAATGCCATGAGGCAAAACATAGATTAATATAAATGAGTTAACTTAAGGTATAAAAGCTAGTGTGATAAGCCTAAGCTAATGTTGAGCTTTCATAATTAATAATGTCTCTGTGTCACTTTTTGTGAGCTGCCAACAACAAAGCTTGCTACAAATGGCATCTAACGTGAGCCATGCGCACAGAGCCCTCTCCATGCAGCATACAGAGGTTTGGCTCTTTTAAGAGACCCAGATGTGCAACAAGCACATGAGTATCCAGCATGATAGGTTAAAACTCCAGTCACTCAGACTCAGCAAATTCTGAGAGAGCCGGAGTGGTAAATGCAGCTGCTGTGGGTGCCACCATGTGTCTAAGCTCTCGTAGAACCAAGAGGGGCAGACCTAGTCACTAGAGCCACGTGACCATTCAAAGTTTGTCTTGCAGTCAGAGAATGCTGTAAAGACACAGGAAGTCAGGTCCAGACTGAGGAAAAAACCTCTAAACAGATACAGTAAGATCTAAGCCGAAAAATGGGCTTAGATACTAAGGAAAGAAAAGAAAGTGAATATAGACAATCATAGAAAAATGCTAATGAACAGAGAACAGCTGCTGAAAGACATTGAACTGTGGAGGAGACTCTTGAATTAAACCAGCCTATATGCTTTAGGGGTGATTTGACCTGAAAATGGAAGTTGGACAATGTGTTACTTTGGGGGAGAGATTATGTTTGTTTCCATTGGAAATAAAAAGCTTTGAGTTTCTTCAAAGTTGGTCAAATCAGATTTGATTGGTGGAGACCTCCTAAGGCTTACGGTTACAGACATGAGGGAAAAAGCCAAGAAAAACTACAGGACAGTTGATATACATGCTGACCACTCAACAGGGGCACAGCTCTGTGACTGGCTGAGATATCATAAATATTGTTGGCTTCAGAGTTCTCATGAATTATTTTTACATGCCATCTTTTCATCTGGAATGGTAGAGATTTATATCACAGTTTGGCTATAAAGTTCAAACAGACTTATGAAGTTGATAGATGCCTTTTACCTGCTCAATCATAGAAAGAATACCATCTTTAATTTATTGTGCACACCACACATTCCATACTTGTGTTAATGCAGATATATATATATATATATAATATATATATATTACACCTTTAAAAGTTTGTGTGTTTTCAGAAAAAAGGACCAGACACCAATGAAAACAAGTAGCACATTTATGCTGTTCCCAGAAATGTATGATAATTCCGATTTCCCTGGGCCTTGTTGACAATTGTTTATGATAACCATCATAGTAGGCAAGGAGACATTTTTTGCTAATGGCTAAGGATATCAAGCATTTTTTTATGTACCTATTAGCCATGTCTACATTTTCCTTGGAGAATCATTTGTTGCGTTCATTTGCCTGATGTGGAAATTTGAACCATTTGTTCAATGTTGGGAGGCCCTGTTGGTCAGATTTTGCAGTCTACCGTGGTCTGACAGCTCTCTCCAAGCTCGACAACATGGAGGACTCCCTCTCAGCTGAAGGCTTTCTGCTCTCCATCTGACGTTATTTTGAGAGTGTCGCTAGGCCCAGATGCCTGACTTATCTCTAGTGTGACCCTTAGTAACTTTCCAATAGGCCTGTGACTGTACATTTGACAACCAAGACTTGCACTAGGAGCTTTATGATGGGAACATGCTGTTTAATGCAGATTGGGTGATACCCAGTTTCTGTCCTGATCCTTTCCATCTCTCCTCACTCTGGAACGGAGCTGAGCTGTCCCACTGGAGCAGATGCCTGAAAGGCTATTTCCATCATGTTTAAAGGCCATGCAAAGCTCCCTGTCACCGCTTCTGTCCCTTTGTCCTTGTGGACTGGTGACTAACAGATTGTGAGGAAAAAGGGAACCCCAGAGTCGAAGGTTTTATTCTCCAGGATCACAGCATTAGGACAAGCTTCGCGCTTTTGGGAGGTTCAAGAGTCATTGGTGCACACATTAGAAAGGGGTTGCAAGACACTGTCTTAGTCTCTCTTACTGCTTCCTCCTCAAGATGGAGAACATATTCCAGTGTAGGTTTTTATCACGATGGGCTACCTTCATCGAAGTCCCAAAGCAATGGGGCTTCCTGGCCTTCATCTTGAACTTCTCAAACGGCAAAATCAACAGAAGCATCCCTTTAATTCATCAAGTTCTGTGTCAGGCATTTCATCACAGTGGCATGACAGAGAAATCTGTCTTCAGATTGAATTTGCTTTTTATGTTTGAACTGTGAGAATAGTTCATCTATACTGAACATAGGCATTTTTCAAATACTTCACATGTGTGTAAATTGTCTTTTCACTCTCTTGAAGAACAAAAATTTTAATTTTATAAAGTTTAAGTTTTCTATTTCTTCTTTGATAGCTTGTACTTTTAGTATAAAATATAAAATGTTTTATCATTCAGAAAGACAGAAAAACTAATATACAACTATGTACAGGTAAAAGAGAAATCTAATATATCTAACTAGCTTATTTCTAAAAATCTGTTTTTTAAACTTTTTTTTCATTCAGAGCACATACCAACCTAAAATTAACATGTGTTATATTTACAAATATTTAAGTAAATGTATTAAATAGGTGACAAACTTCATTCAATTTATAGCAGCTTTACACCTAAGATGGTATGCAAACGGCATCATTTGAAGTCTCTGACCTCCTTGTTCTACTGCTTGCTCTCCAATACAAATAAATTGGCATATAGAGTTAAAAAATAAAAAAAAACCCTTGGGATATTATCAAGTCATGTAAATAACTTGTTTTTCTTTAGAAGTAAAATGGTTTTTCTCAATTCATATTTTTTTCCATTATAAATGATGCCTTGATTCTTGTCTGTGGACTAGTTCTTCAATGTTTGAGGGAGAAGTTTTTAAAGAGCATCCACCTGGAAATATCATAAAACATTTTTTAAAAAATACTATAGAAACTTCATTGCTAAGTTGAATTTTACACTTTTGAAAACTTTATAACAAATTACCAAATTTCTCTGTAGTAATAATTTACCAACCAACAAAATGTGGGTTAAAATATTCCTACTTATTCATCAATGTACTGTCAAACTTGCTAACTTTTGTTGACAACTGGTATCTAATTAATTTATCGTGTACATTTGCTTATTAATAAAATTGTTCATTGCTTTTATATTTATTTACTTGTGGATTTTCTCACCTATAAAATTTTTGCATGTATGGTTTAAACATTCCTATAGTTTTTTTCCTATCTTGGTGGCTTCTTATGGATTGTTAGAATTTTTAGGATAATTTACATGATAATATATTACCAGTTACAGACACTGAAGTGGAATTTTATTATTAGGTCATACTTTACTGATAAAAATTATACATTTTAATAAAGCTTTCTGTCTTCTACAGGTTATACTTTCTGTGTCATATTTTGCAATTATCCCTTATCAAATTACAACAAATACATTCTCTACATTTCTTTGAAATTTTGAAAGATTGTAAGTTCACATTAGTAATCCATTTTGGTTTGATTTTCTGCATACAATGAAACATGATTCATTGAAATTCAGCACACAGAGTCAAATGTCCCAACATCATCAATTATGCAAGTAATCATTATTGCTGCCTGGGAGGTCAGCCGTCAGCAGTGCAAGGCTCAGAGAGAAGCCCAAGGGTCGGGCCATATAAGACTTTTTTATCTGAAGGGGGTTAATGGAAAAAGACACTCACACACTCTCTTGATGGTTTTCTTTATTTTCTATTCCTCTCTGTTTTTCTGTATTTATTCGACTGTATACTTTTTTCCCCTTAGCTTATATACCCCAACAAAGTTCTTCAGGAGATATAGATTTTACAATGTGGTTAAATTTTATTTTTCAAATCAATGATTACAATGAATACAAAGCAAACAGTAAAAAGCAGCATGTTTTCCATATCCCCTACTTGATCAAGCATTTATGTATTACAGGTCAAGAAAATTAACCCAAGAACTCATATACGTTCATACCCAAGCAACTTGTAATAGATTAACCATGGAGGGAAGCAAGATATTCTTCTCCATCAGGTCTCTTTTTGGTATGCTGCAGGTTTGAAGTTACAAAGAAAGGGCCAGTTACTCTATTACTTACCTTGAAAAGTAATCTTGTAAGAAATCTTTCTTTCTTCTTAAATCTTTTTTATTGATTCTATTGATTAACTCAAAAGAATCAATAGTCCTTCTTTACACAGATTATAAATGGGCTGAGAAAGAAATCAGAGAAACACCCTTCACAATAGTCACAAAAAGCATAAAATATCTTGGAGTAACTTCTACCAAACAAGTGGAAGACCTGCATGACAAGAACTTTAAATCTTTGAAAAAAGAAACTGAAGAAGACACCAGAAAGTGGAAAGATCTCTCATGCTCTTGGGTAGGTAGAATTAACATAGTAAAAAATGACAATCTTACCAAAAGCAATCTGCAGATTCAATGCAATGCCCATCAAAGTCCCAGCAAAATTCTTCACAGACCTCAAAAGAACGGTACTCAACTTCACATGAAAAAGCAAAAAACCCAGGATAGCTGAAACAGTCCTATACAATAAAGGAACTTCTGGAGGAATCACAAAACCTGACTTAGAACTCTTTTAAGAAATCTTAAAGAAATTATAAACCTAAACTTTTATATGTGAAAAAAATCAAGCAGCTTCATTTTAAATCGTTAGGATACATAGTCACTCATCAGTAGGTTTTTATACCAGGCAAAATGGGTACAATGAGTTAATCGTCACCTTTGATCATCAACAACCCTAGCAAGAAAACATCAGCTAGTAAATATTGAGCTGCTTTGTTCTTATTCTCAGACCTTAATGAATTCTGTATTCAACTATGTGCCTTTCTAAAATGTTAGATTATCTTCTTTGGTTTTTTTACCTCAAAAAATGTTTGACTAAAATGTCTTAGTCTAACTTTAAGTTATTTTCAAAGTTTTGTTTCAACTGTAATGCACTCTTAAATCTCTGAACACATTGCCCAACACTAAGGTTACAAGAATTTAAGTTAGCTGGGCTATTGGGGCTCAATTGTTTTTGTAATCATTAACCTAAGCCACAGTTTACATGGCTCCTCAATAGAAACTTATGTGTCCCTGCTGTGTGACACTCCTTGTTTAATATTTTATCATAAAACTTTATTTAAATTAATAAGATTATTATCAATTAGACAGTACAGTTTAGGAAGAAATCATCTTCATAGCAATCCTCAGGTAAAAATGCCCAGTAGAACGGGATATTTTTATGGGATAAACACACTACATTACAGGCAGTTGAGGATCTCCCCACACCCATTCACGCCATGAGAGATACAAGAGAAAAAGCAGCAGCTTACATGTAAAGGCACAGTAGACGTAAAAGATAGGCCAGGGTGTGTGGTCTTGGAGCCTTGCCTGTCTGAGACGGACCTGATAGGCTGACACCTCGACCTTCAGTTGTCACCTACTGCTCCTATGTCACAGCCACCGACAAATCATTCTACAGCATAATTTCATTTGCATAACTGATTCTCACATATGAATTAAGTTCTCCATTGTCTTCTTGAATCGCATGTACTTCATCTATTCCCGAGTTCATGAATATTTCATTTTTCTTATGAATGACATCTTATTTCTATTATATTATAGCAGGTTTATAATTAATATTTTTATTCTGAATTTGCACTTAAAAAAATCACCTAAGCTTTAAAAACTTTTTTGCTCAGTTATTAAAATTACCGACACTGGACATCGGTTAGTGTAACTCTAACTGTAAATTCTCTCACTCTAGGAATGCACATTGTTTCTGCACATAATCCTCATTCATAACCATTTTCCCTTCGTCACTCTGTAGGTTCCTCTCATTTTGGCTATCAAGAGACTGCTGATAATCAAATTCTTAGCTTCTTCTTTTTGTTGATGTAACTTTATGTTCTGGCATTGATGTTTTCTCTCCTATTTCTTTAGATACCCTCATCTGTGATTTCAACACAACATGATCAAAATAAAAATTTCTTTTAGTTATTACTGATAGAAATGTTAAGTACTTAAATCTCATAGAATCAACTAATCTGGGTTCATAGGGACTGACAGAGGCTGAACTGACAACCAACCCGGGAGCATGCATGGGATGGATGGAAGCCCTCTACATA